TAAATATATATATTGTTCTTTACATATTTCATAATGAGATATTCTTTTTATTGATATATAATTTTTTAAATTAATATATTAAACATTAATCACGTTTATCGTCGGATCTTACATATGTGTGCGTGAGTCATTATTATTTCAGTTCGCATTGCTATAGTGTTTCCTGTCTTCTTTCTATACGTGGAAGAAAAATAAATGTTAGAAAGTATTCGTAGATCTAATTACTTTTAATTCATAATATTGATTATGTAATATAATACGCGAATACTAAGGAGATATATTTGATATTTTAATTTCCTCAAATAAAAGTTAAGATAATTAAAAAGTTTGTTTTTTCTTCGATGAATTGGCTATTTTATAATTTCATTTATCATTCGGTATCAATTGTCTTGCGTAATTTCTTTCAAATTCGTGTAACTTCACGGTTCTTTGACATACGCTTGAAACAAAAAACATGAACAAATAAATATATTTATTTACGTAAATGAAAAAGAAAAATATATATATATATATATATATATATATATGTATATACACACACATGTATGTTTAACTATATAAAATAGATAATATCTTCGACTGAACCTGTCCTTTTCTTGGATCAATTAAATTATCATTTAGAAACTTTATTCTCGAGAACGAAGAAATTTAACGATGAAATACATCGGACATTTATTAGATACAATGAAGAAGCAGATACAATGAACTGTTAGTGTTTTTGAAGATTACAACTTTAATGATCATAATATAACATATTAAATTGCCCCAATAAGATATATACTTCACCTTAAGAATAATAAGTATATGTAAATAAAGGAGACGAAGGAGGAGGTTTTACTTGAAATGGACTCAGTAGCGGTTACCGTTCCGCTTCGTCAACCAACGAAAAAAATGAAGAAACGTAAGGAATTGGATGCACTTGCACCTCCGCATGCTGTTTCCAGAAGAACTTCTGGAAAACGTAGTTCACAGGTATTTATTTTTTAATTAAATTATGAAAATGCCAAATTATACTCGATTCTTTTATAATACGGTTATTAATTCGTTTTGTTTTAAATAAAACAAAATAGTGTCATGGAAACGCACGTGATGTTCAAGGGTTGTTCATATTTATTAAATTGTTCTATAAAAATATCATGTTAATAGAGAAATATCGCTATTTTTTCACTATACAAATATCGTAAACGTATTTTCCGAATATTGTAGTAATGATATAATATTGGAATAAATAATATTGGAATTTGTAGTAATTCATATTTAAATGAATAACGTTAGTATATATTCTATTGATAATTTTTGGTATTTTATATTTAAATAAATACCGCACATTATTCTATTTTGTATTGTATTAAAATATTAGTATTCTTGTATTGAAAATATTTGGTATAACAATAAAATCAAAGCATAACACGATATAGTATTTTTTTATTAAAAATTTGTAATATCTAATGAAGCAACATCTATTATAAACTGTTTTAATATGCTTTAATTGGACTTGATGTTTTGTTAACAATGACTATACAAATTATTATTTTACCAGGAATTATTGACAGATAGCAGTGACGAACGTTCAGAATATTGGAACACTTCGACAAGAAGCAGTCGCAAATGCAGAGGAAGAAGAAGCCAAGCCTGTCCGGGATTTCTTAAGGCTTGTAGTGCCTTTTTGGCGTGCGCTTCTGTCTTAGCTACTGCTAGCTTAATATGGCTTTTTATTGACGTTCGTCAACAACTCAGCGCCTTAAGAACGGAATTGGATCAAGGTACTGCCGCGAGGGATTTGAAAAATAATGCTGATTATTATTCATTTGATTATTCTTGTGTTTTAAAAATCTACTATAATAATACAAATATCTATTTAATGTTTTCTTTTTCTTTTTTCTTTTTCATATAAGATTATTGCGAAGATGCGACAATTAGTTCCAGAATGAAATTATGTATGGCAAAAAATGTTTATCTGTTGTATACATAAATTTCAAAGATTAGCTTGTAATCATCGTTATAAATCTAAAATAATCATATGATTCAAGCTGTAATAGTTATAACAGCATTATTATTGCCTATCATTTAGTTAATCTATTACGAGTTCTTCTATGTTTATCATATTACAGTAATTGCCGGTAATGAGGGTGTTCCTGATACTTTGCAAAAATGCCATTCTATGTCGAGAGATTTGCAAAATAATCAAACAGTTATTTTTACTCATCTCACAGATCTCAGGCTACAAATAAGTAATGTTACCATTCAGGTGAATATCTCTTATTATTTTATTACTTGTTACAATTATTGATTGTTGTTATATCCTTTGATACGTCTAATAATAAAAATTCGTTACAGTTAGCGAATATACAACATGGATTGCATCAAGTTCAAGAATGGGTGCACGCTGCTCCGGAACTTGCTAATGTTCCTAAAGATTTAAAAGCACTTTCTACAACAGTTGTTTCGTTGGGTAGTCAAATAAGCGATTTGGATTCGACCGTAACAAAGTTGAAAGAAACTAATACACGTGTACAAAACTTTCAAACTACCGTGTTACAAAATATAACCAACATACAGGTAAATTTATTGCATTCCTAACATTGAATTCATTTACATTAGTACTCTGCACATTTTTTGTATTGTGTGTCAATTATTTTGACAAAATAGAGAAAATCAAGCATTTAAAAAATGATATATATATATATATATATTAGACATTTATAAAAAAAATGTGTATATATAATACACACACAAGAAATATATTAAATTAATGATATTACTTAAATATATTTATTTTTATTAGCATAACTACAAACGAGCAATGTTAGCTAGCAATGTCGATTTTAAGTAATTTAAAATCACTTAAAATTTAGAGTTATTTGAAGCGAGCAACTTTTAAAATAATCACACTACGTATATTTTATTTCAAAAATTTAATTATTTTCATATTTCATTTTTACAGCACACTATTTCTGAATTGAGTAATTTAACGCAAAAGCCTCAGATCTTAACTACCAATGAAACCAAATTGAAAACCGAAGAATTAAATGCTGCGATATTGCATGTAACAAATAACTTGACGCACGTTAATGAAACCCTTTCAAGAACTCTTCAATGGGCAAGTGAAGATCAGAAAAAAGATCATGTAAGCTTAAAGTGAACTGTAGTGATTGGATTAAAAAATATTTACTCTTTGTTATATTTGTTAATATATTTGTTAATATATTTGTTATTAATGTCACATTATTTTAGAAAATATTGAACTCCCTGTTGGATACAACCCAAAATGTTAGTACAAAGGTTATATCTTTGCAAGGAGAATATGCTAAAATATCTGAACAAATAACTACATTACCATCGTTAACAGAACAGGTATATTATTGTGGGAACGGGCACTTCCATTTCAAATAAAATAGGCATTCGTGAGAAAATTGTCCGGAAAGCTCTAGAATAGCTTAAAGATTAAAACAATCATCCAAAAAACGGTAAATTCGGTATAGTCAGTCCAACGGCCTAATTTTGTCACGAATTGTACACTATTTTCTCAATAAAATAAAAAAAATATTATTATCACATTAAATATCGTTGATATATTTAAATATTAATTATTATTATAGGTGAAGCAAATACATGCAGCCAGCATAGAATTAAACGATAAACTAAAACGTTTGGAGCAATCTTATATTGCTGTTAAAAATTCAACTACTGTTATGCTAAATGCAATAACGGAAATGAAAAATGAAAGAAAGATTGTAAACGAGCAAGACACGAAAGAAATGACTAATGAAGGTATATATTTACATATAAATAATTAATGTAAATAAATGTAATATTCTTAAAGTAGTTAATATGAACAAATACCTTTGAAATGTTATTATTAGTTATTATTAAACTACCATAAAAATTGTTCTCATTAAAGTTAATTATTAAGCTTAATTATTAAGGTAATTTATATGCTAAATATAAAAATTGTATTAAAAAATTGTAAAAGTAAAGTTAATCGCTTGACTTAAGTGCCTAATTATTAGATCACTTTATATATACACGTTATAAAAATATCATCAAATAAATATATGTAACGATATTAATTCTAAATAATTTATATTTTTCAGGAAGTCAAAGCGTTCAGAGGATAAGCACAAACACTTAAATATAAGATAAATATAAGTAGAATATAAATAATATTTCCAAAATTGCGATTTTCAAAACTAGCTCCTGCACGTTTGATAAACAGTCTGTAGGTAACATAAAAGAGATGTGTAATTGTAAATACTAATAAGATAGGAAAGTTTATGAAACTATCTATTTAGCAGGAATTACATATATAAACTCTGAGTCACGTATGCCATCTCAAAGAAAAAGATGTTATATTGAAGTGTATAATAGATAAATTAATTGACACAATTAAATGAACATTCTATGAGTGAAACTGTCTATGATCTTGTGAAAACTATCTATACCAAGCAATAATTTGTACAATTATGATATTAAAATTCTGATACATTGAAAGTACATACATTTGGAAATACTTACAAAGTACAAAATCGACATTTTTATCAACATTATATACCCTTAATTATAAATTTCTACAGACATTATAGAATGATTCGTATATCCATTTAGATTTTTTCAAATTACTTACAAACTCTTTGTTTAAATAAGCACTTTTCAAATGACACTTTCCGTCAAATGGTTTAAATTATTCCTTAATTTTCCTAGGAATCAAATAGTTAATTATTTGTTTTTCATAAAAATATATTTAGAATAGTATTGTTTATAAGTAATTAAGTCTATAAATAGGCACAATGAGTGCTATTTTGTACGACAATCTATATGAAAATATGGTCATATAGAGGTAATCAAAGCTACGCACATTATAATATATGCGCAGTATTATACTTAATTAGTCCAAAATATAATTAAAGTCATATATTGTATATCAAAACTTTAATACAGTAAAATCTTTTATTTCATCATCATTACTTTTAATCTTATCATTTTTGCAATATATTTCTATTAGATTGTTATTTTATTATTAATTATTATGTCATTTTAACTATAATATGATCAGAATTATGATTTCAACAAATGTTTCTTATGCTAAATAATCATAAAAAGTAAAAATGTAAGAAAGAAATTCGTTTAATTGACTATTACTACAAATGAATGCGTTAAATTCTACTATTTCTATATTTGTAAATTACAAAATAACCATTCAATTATCTAAAATAAGAATACGACAGATTTCTCTCATGCGCGATCTTGATATGAAAGTGTGTGTGAGTGCGTAATTAAATAACACATTATTAGAAGATATACCCATATTGAAAAGGGTTAATAAAAACGTAAACGTTATAGTAACACAATAATTTAACTTTTATCTTCATTTCCAGTCCAACATCATAATTTATTTCTTTATTAACTAATTTTTTTTTTTAAGTATTAACATTCAATTTTATAATCAATTATTAATGTGTGATTTGTATACATATTATTTTATATCCAAAATCTTATGATAGTATTCGTATAAAAATGGAAAAATTTGAAAGAGATAGAAGATGTCGCCTAATTAATAAAATACGAAATATGAAGAAAGTGACAAAAAATGTATAGGAAGAGCAAAAAGAAAAAAAGAGAGAGATTAATATTGATTGATGTTTATTATTTGTGTTGATGTTAACTATTTATTGTACGTATGGGGCATTCTACGTCAAATCGACCACTTTTGACTGCGACCCGTTTCGATTTGGCTGAAACTTTTTTATCATTTTCTACCCCATTGAAAACCTCTCTGAGAAATTTTCAAATTTCTTTACCCAACCGAAAAATAATAATGAATTTTTCAAAAATACACACAAATGAGTGTGAACCAATTGAATGTGCAGACAAATGAACACTACTCTGTTACTAGAATGGTCACAGGTTAGCAGCTACTTTCTGTGCCTGTTGCGAGATGGCACAAGAATAGTTAACGAGGTTGCAAATATATATAGAGTCATCTAACTTGCAAGAAACATTTAGGATAGTAGTGAGTTTATACAGTATAAAGGAGGTATTTGAACTAGCAACGGAAAATATTTGAATATCATATCATTTATTCGAACTTTACTCTACACATATCTAAAATCGGCAAATATCTATTGACTTTTGTTTGATCGTATCTGCTTTAAAACATGGATTTTGGTGAAATTTACGCACTATTTCTTTTGCTATTATCATTCTTAGTTTCCATTACCTTTCTTATGGCGAAAGATGTCTACAAACCAACTTTAAAAGTAAGTGGAATATAAAATTATACGTTATAAAAGAGTATATAGTTCATTTTCATCAGTATAAAATTACTGAGAAGTTTTTAAACAATGTTTTGTACCGAAAATATGTATATATCATGTTTGCTTTGGGAAAAATATAATTTGGGTGAAGATGTTTCAAAAATGTTTGTAACGTAATAATGTAGATTTGGTATTTTATTGATTTAAAAATACCAAATCTGATCATATAACTGTTTTTATTTATTAACACTTTTTTACATTAAAACAGTAAGTCAGAATAATAAAAATTCCAATTATATTTATTTGTATATAAAATATTTGTATTATTATTTCACGTAAAATGATTACAGCAATGTATTATGGCCAGCATTGTATAGAAAGCCTGATCGAGTAGGATATTTGTGTTTAGAGGACGGGGAGGAGACTTCAAAAAAATTGAAAATCGAATATACGTAACCCGCAGGAATTCAAAATTCGCGATACTTTTTGAACAGACCTCGTACATTATTTTTCGATAAACAATGAAAGAAGTAGAAATAATATTAATTGGAACAAATGCTTTCGCTTGCTTCTACTGCAGACAGTTTGCACAGTATTTATTTTGTTATTTCAGGTTGATGGTACTAGCAACCGTCATGAATAGTGGTATTGGTTGTCTCGGAGACATTATAGAATTAATGTTAGTGTACGATTTAATTTTTTTTTTTTTGTCCTATTAAAAGTTATAAAGTTTCAAATAAATCTTGAAAAACCAATATACACGCCTTGCTATTGTCAAATCAAACATAAGTGAGACGAAATATTGCTAACATGATAAATAGATACTTTTCAGCTGATTAAATTATACAATTAGATAATTTATTGAAAGATCTTTTATTTTTTTTCGTTTTGAAGTATTAGCAAATAGATATCTGAAAGACCAAACTAATGCTTAGGTATCTTATTTGAAAAATAAATGGCTAAAAATATGTTTTATTATTTATATTGATTTTTTTTTTTTAATATTTTAATGCAATAGCAAACTTATACTTTATATATGTCAGTTGAATTTTATTTCAGAAACTGATGCGTATATTTTGTTCGCGTCTGTGATCTTATATTCGAGATAGTTATTAGAAATATTTTTTTAAAGGAACTTGTGCAATTTTGATAACTTACAGTCTCAGAACTTGCTAGTCTACGAAGAGCTCAGAAGAATGTTTTTCGGGCTTAGGATATTATTGTTTATTTAAATATATTAAAAAATATTACGATAAGAAAATAAAAAAAATATATTATTGTTTTCAGGAATCACCGACAAAGAAGACAAAAAATAAGTTAATGTATTTCGAGGATGATACAATAGATGAAAAGGAAGTAAAAGATGAAGCAATATTCCGTTACCTTAATCCACATTGTAGTCATAATTTGTCAGAATACAAAGCATTGTTGATGGAGTGTTATATAACAGAATCAATGACTAAAGAACAAAGAAAAGCAGTGGAAAGGAAAGTCGATGCCATTGCAGAAAATTATAAGCTATATCCATAAAATAATACATTTTCTAAAGTACAATTTGTATACCCTAAGGGCAACTCAGAAATAGTATATATCAATAAAAATGATTCTTGAGTCAAAATATATCACGAGTACCGTTAGTACCATCTACCATCTACCATCAACAAATGGCGCTGGATAATTGCACGCTTCTTATTTAGAATTTTGTTTAAACAAAGAACGACTCTTCATGCATTGTGCCGTCCGTGCGGTCGATCTCCGACAGTCACACCCCAACTGCCCAGAGAGAAATTCGTTTTTCACCGGTCCGCATCGAAAGGGTTAAGGTGTTCTCGCATTAAAATATTAAAGCAAACTGGCTAGCTAATTTTGAGAAAAAAAGCTTTTAAAGTTTTGCTTACTTACTTGTTTATATTATTGAAAATTCATCTAATTATCAAGGGGGTACGGTAATGTAAGCAGTAGCAGTCTCTCCTGCCGCTTGGATTCCTCCTGCGTAGATTTTTTTTTTATTTTTTTTCCTGACGCAATACTTATCCTAATAGAAGATTATATTATGTTTAGACAGATATTCGTAGAGATTACCATACAAAATCTGAATCTTTTGTTCCTTATCGTATTGGAAGATAAACGGGTTTAGATCGAAATATTTTATACCTGGTTTTTTACTTTACCGGTTTCTTCATTACATCTTTTTTCCCTTTTTTTATCTGGGTATAAAAAGTAAAACTTTGCCTTTAAACTATATTCGGTGATGAAAGGATCGATTTTAGTTGGTTGTAAGTGTACCTGGTTTTTTGTACAAATGTTTGCAAATGAATTAATATGATGCCATTCTCCTAAGAATATACACATATAACAAAATATACAATATATCTACAAACAAAATGATGTCTCAATTAAAATGTTGCCAACCTTTGGCGACTTTTGTTCAGGTATTTTCTACGAATAGTGCCGGATTTGCAGATTCCCGAATAATATCAACATAATTGTAAGTTCTAAAATAAAATATATCAGCGTTTTTTTTTGAATCACTGGTATGACTCTTTACATTTTAAAAGCTTAATACTAAATTTTGTTGAAGAACTTTAGTATTAAAATGTAAAATAGATCATATTTTAGGAGATAATTTTTCATACAAAATGATTTCCTATAATAACCCGAAAATATACAACACTCGACATATTATCTACCTCATCTACAGGTCTACTGTACAGTATTTAACTATGTTGAATGTCACGTGTTGTAAATAAGAAAGACTCCTTTATAAATACATATATAAAAGCATCTTATGTATATAAAATTTCTAGGATGGTGGTAAATTAACGTATTCTAAAGAAAGTATTCTAACAAGGAACAATAGAAATTTAAATATCCGATTACTAATTTCAATTTTATTCTACGTATATTCAATCCACAAATAACTGTTGATTTTTATATTACCATATCGGCGTTAAATCATGGAAAGTACAAGCATGTTGCATTCATCAGAGCCATATTTATTGTTTTTATTTTACGCTGCCATAGCCTTTTATATGCTACAAACAATCAAAAATCTAACTTCTAAGGTAAGAGGATAAGGAAATTCTAGGTAATAAGAAAGTGCAACAGTTCATTTTTATTAGTCTTAAATTATTATAAAGTTATGATACGATATTCCTATCAAGAAAATGACGTTCTTATGTTGTTTGTTTGCTCTGGGGAAAAAATAAAATATGGACGAAGACGTTTCAGAAATGCTTGTAACGTAATTATCTAAATTTGACTAAAAAAATCTAAATCAGACCATGTATTTTTGCCATTGATAATTGGCACTTTCTCCCATTAAGACAGTAAGACATATAATAACGAAGCATTAAATCATATTTATTTGTTCAAACTTTAATGTCAATCATTTCTTTTGAATACGAAACTTCACATGAACAAATAGTATATCATATATTTTTCTTATTATTTCACGTAGAGTTCTGTTTATAAGATACAGTGACTTCTAAAAATATTCGGACAAAAAAGTCAAGTTTATGGCTTAATATTTCTGTTTTTTTTTTTTTTTTGGGTAAAGTAATTGGGCAGGTTACTGTTTTTTTTAACTGTATAACATAAATGTAATTATTCGTTATTAAATACTGTTACCTTTTTTTGGTCAAAATAATATTCGGAAATTTTGGAGGCATCACATATTAAATTTTATTCAATATTTGTAATAATTTGTAACGGAGTCCTTTTATTTCAGAACATGTCTAAATCTGTTTGCATAGTTTTTATTAAGATTTATTTTTATTCAGCTATAATTACGTAACAACATAATTAATTAATTTTATTGGTAGTATAAAGTACAGAATTATGTGTATTATCTAATAAGCATTACTATTAAAATTCCTCATTTATCTTAAGCAAACGGTTTGCGTTTCGTACGTCAAAGTTTTCATTGGTTTTGCTAACAGTTTGCTTTATTTCAATATTAACTTTGACTCGCTGTATAAAATCTATTAAATCATAATTTCTAATGTTATAAGAAAACTACGATCGTTACCATACAATTTATAACACTATAATAATGAAAATAAAACAAGTCACGTCAAGGTTTGAAACAGCTAACGGTCACTTAAGGAGCGATTTTGAATATGATAGTATCATATGTGTAATCAATGTAAAATATATATCCTTTCTTCTCTGGAACGTTCCAAACTGAAGCATATTTTTACTAAGCTAACGTACAAAATCAGGGGCTGATTTATCTTTTTATTTATTTTTTTTAATAAAGTTTTTATCATTGCAAGCATATATGTCAATATTCTGATTGCCTTGTTTTTATTTTGAGTATTAGCTAGAACTGGCATTTTTTTCAGAATCGCTCCGTCGGTAATGGGGAGGAAAAATTTATATTTGAAGTCTCTTCCGAGATGGTTATCAAAATAGTTTTTTTTAGCAATCACCATAATTGTGATAAGTTGCAGTCTCATAATATGCTAATTTATGCAGAGCCTCAGAAGAATGAGAAAGAGAAAAAAGGAAGAAAGAAAGAATTTAGGCTTAAAACTATTGATTATTTTAATTTATAAAATGACTACGATAAAGAAATTAAAAAATCTATTATTGTTTACAGAAAAAAATCATTTCTGAAAGACAGACAAATTCTATTTCGGACGATAATATACGTAAAGGGATCGAAAGAGCAGCTTTGACACACTTACCCAGAAAGTTTATGAATCCAACTTTTGTAGAAGAATTTCGTAAATATGCTTCGGAATACTGTAAAATTAGTCGTAATAATTTTGATGAATTTGGCGAATATGTGGAGTTTAAATTGCAGTCCTTAAAATCTGAAGACAAAAAAAAAAGATTAGAAAGCGAAATACGAAACGCAATCATGGAAATGACAAAACAGGATAGAAATATGTTATCAAGTTATACCAGTGCAAACACATAAACTATAATAACAATAAAAAATAGTAAACTTAAATAACATTTTTGTAATTATAAAATTGTTTATGCAGGATTATGCTATTGTTATGCAATGGCAGGAGCAGTATAACAATATCACAAGAGTCGCAGTCAAAAAAGATAACAAATTTTTGCATTTATTATTTTTGAATTGTACTTAAACTATCCCTTATTTACAGTAGATTAAAAGTAGCTTCAAAAGAAATACATATTTTGTGTTTCGCCGCTTATATATATATACGTATCATCTCCCTCTATCGTCTCTCGTCATTTCCTTGCACTCTTTCTCGAAATTTCTCGAAAAAGAGAAAATTCCCGATCATCAAAATTCCAGTTTCTTCCTGTACTTTTGGATTGGAGAGCAGCGTCACCAGAAACAGTTTCTTTCTCTTTCATTCTACAATAAACTCTCATACACTCGTACCCATATCACCAGACATATGACAAATAAATAATAGCATTACTTATAAAGAAATCGTCTAGCAATAATTCTAGAAACATCGATGCACACACTTTTTTAATTTTCACAATAATGGAAAATAACATGCATCTATATTGTACTACGTGTCAAGTTTCTTTTATTTGGAAACGTCTTTATTCTATTCAAATATCAAAACTATATAATTAAAATTTAGTCAATTATTTATTATGTATTATTTCATTTATAATGGCTTACTATAGTTCTTAATGGATAATTTTTATTTTTCGATAGGGTAAAAACATTTGAAAAAAGAAAATGTTAAATAAAATATACTTGACAAAAAGGAAAATAAGAAATAAAAAAAACATTTGAATTCTAAAGAAAGAATATAAAAGAATTTCAAGTCAGACTCGATCCAAGAATATGGGAACAAAGCATAGATGCATCTGGCTCCAGTAAAAAATGGGGGGGGGGGGTGACTACGAACGCTCGCACAAAGAAGAGACCTAGAATAGAAAAATCTGTTTGGACAAAAAATTCTGTCTCTCTTTCTACTTTCCCCAACTATTTCTATAGAAAATATACATATATAGTTGGGATCTTTTATTACATTTCTGGAATGTTTTAGGAAGGGGTAAAAACTTGAATCCACTGCAAAGCGTCCTGCTATAACTAACTATAAGTAATGAAATTATACTACAAAAAATGAGCTTTTTTTAATTCGTGGCCTTAACTAATTGTAAGCGAAAATCATCATGATTTATTTTGTTTTTTAATGCGCTTTGGTATTGAAGCATTTTAGTTTTCATAATATTTTGGTATGTTTCAATACTGTCAATCTCGAAGATCGCCCGTTTTTTATTCTCTTTATTATAAATTAAAGCATAGTATTCGTGTAGGTGGTTTGTTGCGCTGTGTATTAGTAATAAGAAGACAAAGGAAAGTCGCCAGTTGGACGCCATCTTTCTAGAATAGATTTTCCCTACATTGACGAACTTCGTCCAACATGGGTGAAAATCGAATGCATTCGAAATATGCGCCGGGGAGGGGGATTTCGAAAAGGGACCCCAACGTCGAAGAGGTGAAGAACGTTAGTTCGTTATAGGTCGCGAAGAAAGTAAGAGAACACGTTTTAGGACGACGCGCTATTTTACATTTTTCTTAAAGACCTTCAAGTTTTAGACCAAATTCTTGACAAATTTCACAAGTGGAAATTTCTAGAGTAATGACAAATCTATGTAGTCTAAAGAAATTGTTATAACTAGCACAACAATATATATTTATATATCAGATTTCTTATACTAATTTTATTCTACAGATATTGAATCCGAAATTAATTGTTGATTTTTATATAACGATTCGAAGAATATTCAAAATTCTAACATGGAAATGATAGACATGTTGCATTTATCAGCGCAAGGTTTAATATATGCATTTCTTATAATATTCCTTTACAAACTGATTAGGATAATGGATCATCTAGTTATTAAGGTAAGTGGTTAAAAATGATACACATTAATGTTTTTATTAACCCCTTGGCCTAACAAGACATCTGTCGATTGCGCGAGAAGAAGTTCGGTCGCGCGCTCTGCCATTTCGATGTTCAAAAGAACAAACGAAGCCTTACGCGGAACTAAAGAAATTATCCAATTTTGTCAGAAACAAATGATAAAAACAAAATTCTGATTAAAACATAATACTTACATTCCAAGGAAAGATACTCCCCATGTGAAATAACTCCAATCGCTTATTCAAATAATAAAACATTTCATTCTAAACCTGTTTATCTTCCGATGCGATAGGGAACAAAAGATAAGAGATTTTTCGTTATAGCGACATGCACAGTCTAGACAACCCCCGCTATGCTCGCTTTTGTGTGAGTGTATGTGTGGGTTGATTCGTGGGAGGGGGGAGGTTGCGTCCGGCCTTTGCTCGATTCTTTTCAACGTTCGTTAAATAGTCATTTGATATTCTACAGAATATCAAAGTATTATGTTCGATGCCCAGGAAAAACTCTCCAAAAAGTCTTATTTTCGACTTCGTCTGAAGGCTCTTTGCATTCATAGTAATGCCGAGGAAGTACCAGCAATGGCTGATTCCCGGCTTCGACGGTAACATATATATTTAACTAATTTTACTTTTTTAAACTTTATATTTCTCCGAAAGAAGTATTTTTTTTTTTATAAAAATACATAGCAGAAAATGTAAATAAAAGTTTTGTTTCCTCCTTTTTTTCTTTTTGAAAACTAGTACGAACTCTTAAGTCAATTCAATAAATAGACAGGTTGTATAAAGTTTATATAACAATTTTTTATTTATATATTACTTAGAATATATTACTTAGTATATTCCTTGAAAATTGTTTGCAGTTTTGTAATGATGAATAAGTCTCCTTATAGCTATATTTATTTTAAATGATTTTCCTTAACAGTCCTCATTTTAATTTATATATTATAGTGATGTATTTCCAGGCTACTTTAATGATCAAAACGAATATTAAGCTTTAAGACTGATTAGAACTTAACTTCTTTGTTATTATTAAATTCCGTGCCTAACTATATTGAATGTCACGCACTGTAAATAAGAAAGACTCATTGGTAAATATCTTATCTTATGTACATGAAATGTCTAGG